TAATTGGAGCAGGAAGAAATCGGGACCTTACTTCGACCCGCTGGATCCTCAAGACAATAGGACCAACTGCAGGACATGTTAAGCAGTGTGCAAAGCCAGTCCCTCTGTAACACACGCTGGGTAAATGGGGCTTTCTTTTTCGGTTGCCCGTCAGCGTTCAACTCGATTTACCATCTGATCCAAATTGCTACGTTTGACTGGTGAGATAAACGGTGACCTCCCTTTCTGACAAAGACTCGTTTCCTGCGGGATAATATTCCAGAAATTTCATCAACCTCTGATAATCTTAAAAGATGAAGGATTTCTCATAGTAGCGATATCGGGCACAGAAATTTGCAAGAATTGAACACTGGCTTTAAGCTTTTATTTGACTAAAGATTAATTCGTAACAACCGTAATTGTGAGATGAAAATTAAATGATTGACTGTCTGTGAAGTGCTGTCAAGTCACAATTTAACATTATTCGGTAAGTTTCACAATGATCATCATAGTTAATCTTGCAAAACTTCAAGTGCCTGTTACACCTGCAAATGTTATTACTATATGGCAACGTTTTGCAATCCAAGCCGTTTTTCCCATATGCCTGATGTCACTTTGGCTGTTGGGAAGTGTGCAAGGTAGAGAAAACAACTTGAATAAGTCGAACGCACTTCTTTTTCTCTCTTTTTGCGTCTGCTTGGGACTGTCCGTTAAAGTTGGCGGTCACGTTGCTCCGTGAATTCAATGAATTTATGCATATGCCGGGCCAACATTATACCCGCTTGGCGTAGGGTCATCAGTCAACCCATACCGCTGTTTGCAGAGCGTGTATGTGTCATTCCGTACGCGTGGTTGAAAGAAACCAAAACGGATGGCGTGCATGGGGTTGCTTTTTTTTTTCTTCACAATATGTCACCTACTACAGACCTGTCATTTATACCATGTCAACCAGCCAATGTGGCCACTGAGAGAGAGAAAAACAAGACACCGCGGCCCCTTCACGACCGTCCATGGACGAGGGGATGCGATCCAACACGTGGAACTCTACATAAATGCACGGCACACTAGCAATGGCGTTCAGATATGGATCTCTCTCTCTTTCTCTACTTCCCCCCGAACAATCTCATGCACTGCCGTGAAGTGCAACGGGTGTGCGCGTGTTTGTAGACAGCCCTGTTGTCCATTATTGTGTGGGGCTACATGGCAGTCAGGAAATGAACAGTGCAACCGCGGCCGCTGTACACAGTGCAGAACAGGCTCGTGAAAAAAAGGGAGAGGAAACAAGAAAACTAGTGCATGTGACGGAATTGAGAATCGGAGGGGGGAAACTACCCGCCTTACAAAGCAGGATGATGGAGCGTTGTTCAGATGCTGCGAGACGTGTGCGAATGAGTATTGCAGATGGCTTTTGCTCTGGGTAATAAAATGGCCGCAGGAACGAAAGAAACTAAATAAATCATTTTTTTTCGCCCGCGCGAGAAAAAAAATCATGAGCATCAATTCTGAATGACGCTTTGCTGAGATGTGTTGCACAAATGTTTTGGTGATCTGATAATGAGGTAAACACAGCGATGCCCTTCAATTGGAGGGAATTGATAGAGACATCTGGAGGCAGGTTTGATTTCAAAAGCATTCCCGTGCTGGGAAAATATTCGGAGAATACTCGCCGATGTTACGCACGCGCAATTTGCGCGGACATGCAGAAATAAATTACTGTGATTTGCATTTCGCTCTGAGAGCAATGACAAAGATGGAGGATCGCTCTCTCCGACCTGTGAGTTCACGATCGACAACATTTCCTGTAGATAAATCAAGAAGTCCACAGAATGCTCTTACAAAAACAAAAATGGGGATATGTGACGTTTCCGCGGTACGATGGCAGGACTCATTCCAGTCATATGGTGGTTTTATTATCTTAACGGCTACAAAAACACTTCTGGATAAGCCGACGAGCCCGCGCGTAAATGTCACCCGCTGAATAGACGGCACAACAGGAGAAGAAGTAAAAAGGGAAAAAAAGGAAGTCCGACAAGTCCCGGAAATGGCCAGGTTTTGTTTCACCGGCAATGTCTCGCAATCATATCGTAAGGTGGATTTGTTTACGCCCTCGCAAACGCGTGCGTCTGCGTGTACACTCTAACCTCTGTCACCGCGGGTTGGCGCGGATTTCTACCCCTGCGCCGATCGACACAGCCGTGGTCAAAATGTGATTATGTCAGTTAATTGTGGGGCTCGTCACTGGCAGCCCGTGGGAATGCCATTTACGGAGAGGGGCGTTTCCTGACGACAACAACAACAACAACAAAATCCTCGATCCACACCGATGCCCTTCTACTCCTCTTCCCCCGGCCCCTCCTCATTTATTTCCCTCCAATTGGTGAATATTTTCCCAGATTGCCAGAGTGGAATTATTTCTGGGAGACATAAATTAACGCGAAGGCTATGCACTCCCGGGAAACAGTCATTCGTAATCAGATATACAGCGAGAGAATTAGTTGGTACGTGGATAAAATACAATTTGGAACTCAACTGGAGTAAACTTAGTAATGGGAGATTACAAGCACCTCTGTGCACAGATGACCTATACGTTGGGTAATTAAAGAGACAGATTCCAGTTCTGTTTTTTCACTCGACGCGAGGAATTTTTGCGCCATGTGATCGTATTTTAAGGAGCAATAATGTATTCATTTATACAGCTTCATGCACTCCTGAATATAAACTTCATGGTCTCAGAATGACGACAGTGTAACTTGTAAGGACGTCCCACAACCGACGACCATGTTCCCCTCTCCCTGGACGACAAAAGGTTCCAACTGACACATCTTCCTTGAATTTCGACACAACGTTGATCCCTATAAACCCTCCCCTTGCCCCAAAAAAGTTATAGACCAACTCAACAACTACAAATCACGATAAGTGATCCGGTACACACAACCGAAACCGAGAAGTTTATATCGGGAAGAGCAACTCTTAAGATTTTTGGGAAAATTTCGGCGACACTGCAATGGGTCCGTGGAGCTTAGGCTGAATTGGTCTCGGCGATTCTTGTGCAACGACCATCGAGCCGGCATAATCCGCGCATTGCCTATGCCACAAAATAATAGCTCAATGTGTCAGCAGGTGTGCACGTCACTCTGTTGGAGTTTCCACGTTTATGGTACTTAACCACTGGCCAACACCAAACTATATACCCCCTATAAAAACAATAGTTGGCCGTACGCATGCAATTTTCTAGTTTAAAAAGGAACTACTTGGCTTTGGAACACCAATTCTTTGGCGCCTGGATCACAATGATGTCAATTTGGTTAGTTGGTCTCGTTAAATTCAGTGGACGAAGCAGACAAAATGACGCAGTCGTGGTGGTGGAAAAAATGGAATTAGGAAGAAAGGGACCAAATGTAATCAATAAATTGATATTACCCATTTCTGTGGAGAAGTTAGAAATCATAGCAATGGTTATATTGGAAATAGTTACATAATAATTGTGTTACATTACTGAATGTCTCATCTTCATTGATATTATTCCGACTGTAATGGTGATTTTGACGAAGTAAAAAGTTCTGTTTTACGTATATTTGATCGGCAAACGTTTTCTCAGCACGACCCACTTCTGTCATTTTCTTTCAAATCTTTGCTTTTATTGTTTTGACAGGGTGACGTCCAAAGAGCAAATCTGCTCGCCGAGAGTCGGTGGAAAAAGGGTCGGCAATATATACGGGCAGACATTGTAATGAGCCGGTGGGCTGATCGTGCAATCTCGGCCCCGTCTATACAGCCGGTGCTGTCGACAGCAGACTCACAAGGCCAGCCCAGCCATCCATTTAGCTATCAGTGGTAATAAATGGCACAATTAATGTGGATTAAGATCGAGGGGGTTCTCGTTAGCCAACAGACAGGGCCCCTTTAAAAAAAGACAGACAGACAGACAGAGAGACTGATGAATGAAGGATTACACATAGGTGGACAGGTTTACGCCAGTTTAAATGACAAAGGTTTTGTGCCGCCACACCAACAGCGATTTTTCACAAAATGGCATCTGAGCACGAGATGATTTGTAGATTTTTGATCAGGTCTCGCTCTGTCATTCAGTTCTAATAGCATCAGGGGGCACCGATTTCGGTTTATTATTCTTCCAACTGGAAAATATTTATGAAAGAAATTATGATTGTGATTGACAGTACTTGGGAAGTTGGCAAGAGTGAGGTAAGTAGGGACACGGCCAGCTTATTATTATTACATGAAAAACTCGTCCGGAGGAAAAAAAATGGGAATGAGATCTTTTAGCCTGAAACGGATGCTGTGCGGAATAGGCCTTTACACGCGCTCGGGATGCATTGGGGTTGGCTGTCTTTTCTTATTTCGCAGACGGAGCTCAGAAGTCGCGCACGGGCCTGATGGAAAACCAAAGTCAGAGTCGTTCCATCGCGGGACGACCAGACTTTCGCAGGCAGCAGTTCTTTACGGACTTGCGTGCTCATAGATTTGTGAACACACAAATAATTGTTTCTGGGGGGAAAAAAAAGAGAAAAATGTTTGTCGGAGTGGGCGATCTATACCCAGAACAGCAGTTTGCGAAGGTTACATGTATCGCTTCAAGACGCAAACAATATCCATGAAACTATCGAGAGAGTGGCTGTGAACCATAAGCATTTCAACTTTCCATAAAAACTGTTTTAAGTTTGGTGTCATCTTGTTGTCTCCTTCCATGGGAGCTTACAAAACGATTTATTTATTTATTTAGTCACTTAGATATTTGTGTGACATTTGATTAGTCAAATATTTTTTGTTTTACTTTTCCACTCGAAAAACACGATCGTCAACCACCATTCAACACCTACACTGATGAAAAAGAAACGATGTTTTTCCCCAGTACCGGAAATTTTCATTCAGTAATTCCAAATTGATTTTCAACCGATCGCAACCTCACCTTTTCTACATTTGATCATAACATGCTCTCGCGCAACCACGGATTTAACAATTAAAAAAGAGCACTTTGCCGACGGTGAAATATAACCCATCGTAATCAAAGACAAAAAAAGGGACTCACATACTTTTTTCCACATATCGGAGACGAAAATGTCCCCATTGTCTTATTTTTGTTTCCATACAAATTCTCGTATAACCTTTTCACAACCATCGTGTTATCATATACATTGGCCAACAATCGTATTTTTTGTAGTTTTTTTTTATCACATGTTAATAATTGCACAATATGTTACACACTGGCCCACCGGGCCTAGCATCCCGGACCGCAAAAAAAAAGAAAATTCTTGTAAAAAAAAATCCGGCCTTGAAAACTCGGGCCATTTTTGGTAAAATGTACGCAAGCTTTAATTACAAACGGAAATTACAAATCGAAAAAAAAACACACATTTGTCACACCCGACTACATCAATCCATCAACATACGGAAAAGAAATCAGAGCTAAATTTGGAAGAAGAAATAAAAGTGTCCTTCTGATGAAAAAAGCAGCGAGATAAATTCTCAAAGCAATAGTTTGTGGGCAAATTGAATATCTTTCTGTCTTCAAGCAGGGCTGTGAATACTGAAGAATTAAATTGGCTCCCTGAAATAGTGCTACAGGTTCCGGATACGGCTCTCCCCTCTGACATACATGCAGACAGGGTGCAACAGCTATTCTGCAGAGTGACGGGGTGTGGGGAGAGAAACTATTAGCCGTTCGGGTGTCGAGAAAATATTAATAGAGAACGTCCAAGGGTTTGTGTTTCCGAACGAAACGTCGGGGGTCGGATTGCGTCGCGATCGCGTTGCCGACGCGAGAAGAACACCTGCGAGATCTCATAACAGGGCGCGCTGTAGCACCTCTCTGCCCGTGCCGAGCGGCCTGGGCTGGGCCAGGGGCTATGCGGAACACAGGGCTCGGTGCGGGCGGCCCACACAAGTAGTCGGTGCATGAAACCCGAAACTTCCAACACCCGAGTTTTTCCCACCTTTATTTTTCATTGGCCAATGGAAGGGGCGGGTCCGGCGGCCAGAACCGCGCCGACTGCCCAGCGGCCAGCCACAAAGGGAGCGACTGTATTAAAGTCTCGATAATGATAATGAAAACTAAGATCAAAAGCACCTCTTAAGGAAAATAATTGGTTGTTTCAGTGTCCTATCGTGGCTAGAAGCTATGGGTTCAAAATGCCACTGGCCTTTCCAAAGGCAAAAGCTGCCAAAAAAAAGAAAAAAAAAGAAGAGGTCTAACTTTTTGAGGTTTCAATTTGCACCATTTTTCAAAACAGGATATTCTTCCAGCTCAATGTTGCTACTCGTCTGGCCTTGAGTTTTTGATTTGATGCAGCGCGGATGGACTGATACAGATTGGATCAGCCTTGATACAGCCTTGATGTAGATGTACTCCCATTCATCTAAGAGAGATAACTGTGATTTCATTCCAGAACTGTTGCCAAGTTTCGGATTATACCGACAAACAATAGTTTTTTTTTAGATTTGGGGTTTCCCATCAAGGATTACTAGACATTAAGGATAAGTACACTTTCAGAAGAATAAAAAAAATCGTTCTGAAAATACATTCGACTGGCAGCCAAGCACTGGAGGAATTAGAAATGCAACAAATGAGATTAGTTTTTTCCCCACACATACAGAAAAATGCTCTTAGGGTTTTGGACTAGGAGTGTGACGACGTTTCGTTCGGTGCTGACAATCAATAATGCATCGGACAACACTGGCTGATGGTCCCCTTTTGTCAGACACTAAAATAAATGGATGATTTGTTCGAGTAATGGAATGAGCAAGCTTTTTTTTCTTTTTTTTTTCCTTTTTTTTTGTCAAACTGATGCGATTAGAACGTTTTTATTGGATGATTTGGCTGCCTGCAATGGGTTCGAGTATCAGGAACTTAATGGTACTCCAGTGATGTGTATAGCAACTGTAAAAATATTATGATCGTCTGCCCTCTTTCAAATATTTTGTCCCATGTTATTCCTCACGGTCTGTGGGACTGGCAATTTATAAATACAGAGAGTAAACAAAAATGGCATCTTGTTTATCTCTTCTTTCGGAACACGGGAACAGAAAAAAAAGCTGGTTGACAAAACCAAAGCACAACCGACCAGTGTCTTCTATTAGTCAACATTACATCCGCGGCAACAGCATACATAACAGTTTGTGACTAGCGATTGGACACCGCATTACATAATACAACTACAGGTCAATGAAGTCTTCTTTTGCATGATCGTGTGTGCATTCTCTGGACAAACAACTCTACAATTATGTTCCACTACTGATTATAAAGATACGTTCACACCAAAGCTATTTTAATCTAGTCTCTTTTGTCTGTGTGTTAAGTTTGTTAAAAGGCAGAAGGCAGCTTGACTTACACAGTTTTAACGGGCTACTCTCTGGCATCCGACCAAACAGTCTGGAGCACCGTCCTTTGCAAACGTACCGTTGTTCACATTCAGCCAACATTCAACAAAAACCCACAACCCTACTAGTTTATACTGTCTGAGAATGCTGAAACTGTTCCACGGGCGTGGGAGCTTCTTGAGTCCATTTTTCCCCTCTTTCTCTCTCTTCCTCCGCACGTGAAGAGCCGTGTTTAATGGCTGGTTGACCCCGTCAAACCCAGGAGCTCACACGCGCCAGCCAGGGGATGGGACATTCAACAGACGAGTCTGCCGTGTCTTCCACTACCACCCTGCGGTCTCCACGCGTCCAAACACCCGCCACGATCCACTCAGAAGGCGCTGATTCGCGGCACGCGGTTTGTCCACGGGGACGGACCCTCGCTGAGCTCAAGCTTCGAATGAGAGGCAGTAAATAAGTGACATTTCCGTTTCAGTTCGTGTTCAGGGAGTGCAGGAATACAGATGAAGTATTTTCGGTTCGCTTACCTGGCAAAGTCTGTCCCAGATTTCGAATATAGTTTCAATATATATAGATATACTTTATATATATTTATGTATAGTTGGAGTTCCTCGATCAGCGCCAAGTACACGTTGTTCCCGCTAAGCCATTGCACTGCAAGCATTGTCTGTACTTTTCTAAGTCAAATGACGAAGGCACAGGGGCAGTGAACGCGCTGGCCGCCCCGGCTGTGATGAAAGGAGAGAGGGCTGAGTGGAGGCTGGTGGGCGGGCGGAACGCCAGCAAGCTGTTAACGGGGGAGTTGAGGCTGCTGTTGCTGCTGATGCTGGTGCTGCTGACGCTGGACGTGTTCGTACTGCCGCCGTTGCCGATCAGGCTCTCGATGCTGAAGCCGGAGCGGACCGGCGCGGCCGTGGTGCCGGCCGACATGAGGCTGCTCAGCGCCTGGCTGTGCAGGCTGTGCGCCGCCGAGGTGGTGAGCGACAGAGGCACGGGCGGCGGCAACGGCGACACGTAGTGGTAGGGCAGCATGGCGTGGGGGTGGCCGTAGCTGATGTGGTGGCCGTACGGGCTGCCGGCCAGGAACGCAGAGTGTTCCCGCAGGCCGAGGCCTAGGTCGGGCGCCTGGCGCTTGTAGCGTTTCCGCCTGCGGAGGAAAGACCCGTTGTCGAACATGTCCTCGCTGGCCGGGTCCAGCGTCCAGTAGTTGCCCTTGCCCGGGTTGCCCGGCTCGCGTGGAATTTTGATGAAGCAGTCATTGAGGGACAGGTTGTGTCGTATGCTGTTCTGCCAAATGGGAAATTTCTCGCGGTAGTAGGGGAATCTGTTCATGATAAACTCGCAGATGCCGCTGAGTGTTAGTCTCTTTTGCGGCGACTGCAGGATGGCCATGGTTATGAGGGCGATGTAAGAATATGGTGGCTTGACGGTGCTGGATTTGGCCTTTTTACCGTCGCCCGACGCGTCTCCGTCAGCCTGCTTCTCGGATACCAGCTCGATGTCCTCGGTGTCCTTACCGTGTAGTTCGGGCGACTCCTCTTTGTCGACGGAATCCACCATCTCACTGTCCGAGAAGTGCTCAATCTGCACTGCGTCTTTGGTGTGCCGCGCCGGGGCCGGCGGCGGATCCTTACGGCAGTAGAACCCGCCGACTCCCGGCCCACCGATGACGATCCCCGCCTCGTGCTGTTGCTGCGGCGGCTGGGGCTGTGGGTGCAGCTGCTGTTGTTGTTGCTGCTGCTGCTGGGTCGGAGCGCTCACCTTTGACTCCTCCATGGCATTAGCGGAGCTCACGGTCATGTCTACGCCGGTCGGATCCGACGCTAACCCCGTCGTGTTGAGCTGTCGTGGCACGGTCGCCGCCGGTACGTAATGGCTCCGCGGCCACCTGATGTCTGGCCCGTCCGTCTTTTGACAGTCGAGTCGCCCAACCAGCTATACACACAGTCAGCGCGTCACACTTAACTGGCCTCCCGCACTGTCAAGTCAGAAGAAAAACCGCCGAAGAATTAGGTTATCCCCACACACGCCGGCCTTTCACAGTTGAGGTCGCTGTGATGTTGTTAATACTGGCCCCCTGACTGTAAAACTCGTGTGCGCTTCAGTGCAAACACCCGTGGAACACTCAGGCGAAGGAATCAGCGAGCATGGCTAGCTCCCGCTCACCGATGAAGCGGCCGGGTGACCGTAAACTAACATCGGCTGAAGAAACACGGAGGGTTTTTTCTGAGCCGCATTCAGAGAAGAAAGGTGAACCTTTTTTGCAAGGAGTTTTCCTGTGCCACCCTTGATAGGCAGTTGGACTGACAATCGCCTCACAACTCCGTTGTCTTCTTTATCTATAGTTGCACTGCCACTTGTACAGTTTCTCACCACGTGACCTCCCAATGTTGTCATTTGTCGGCTGGACGTCGGTTCATTTGCATATCAATGAAGTTTGCTCAACACTTGTGTACGCCTATCTTTGATAATTAGGTGATTGTAGCGCATCAAACATTATGACGTGAGCACACTGGCGATGGGATGCCGGGGTCACGTCGCCCGTTATCCCGTCAATCTATGCTGCGGCCCTGAAGGAGAAAGACGGATTCTTCCAAGATTTGCCCCCACAAATCGGGGGGAAATTAAACATCGACAACCAATCCAGATCACGTTCTCGCGGCCGCCCCGCGCACCCCTCGGTCTGATAGATTGCGGGTGAGTCCAGTTACAGAAACTAATATATACATGTACGTACACGCGTGTTGGTACGGCCAGATCATTATCTGCGATAACTTTACGGTGGCGAAGAAGGGCGCCCTCGCGTGGCAGGACGCTCGCAGCAACAGGAAGGATCTGATTGGTTGGCTGGCTTGACGGGCTGTCAGCGTATGGACATCACTGCTTCGTAGCCACGCCTACCGTCTCGCTCGCTACTAAGTCAAACCGAGTACATGTACATGTAACACTGTTTCGTGTGAAGCAGTACCACGGTCTGTGAACCTACCTGTTTCAGAAATGCTAAGAAAAAACAAATCCATGGCATTTACAAGAAAATTAAGCAGAAATGATCTCAAAATCTGCACCACTTGCGTGGAAATAATTAGAAAATAATCTCCGGTAGAGAAAAATCAAGAACTACCGTGGAAGGCCATTTTGTTCATCGTTTTTGTTGACGTGGAAGTCAGCAGTGTACCCACATTGCGTGTACAGTGCATAGGGTGGCAAATCAATCCATGAGGCCATGGCTCATCGAATGTTGATAGGACAGTCTCACTTTTCGTGATCTTGCGGACATGGATAAGGCTTTATCTTAATCCAATCTACAACTGAATTCCAGAAAGACAGAATAAGACTAGGATTTAGCTCGTACAGAGACAGAGAAACTTATTGTTGGGGAGTGCAGATACTAGATTTAAAAATCGTCATCTTATTCTATTTATTTCTCGATTTACATGAAAATGACCAGTAGAAAACGCCATTCAGTAGAAGTTTTCATAAAGGATGTCAAGGAATATCTGTGAGAGATATACGATTGCTGCTACTGGCGCTTTCCTCAAGCTTCGCTAAAAATAGGAAAAAATATTTGGCACTTTGTAATAAATAATCCATTTTAATTGTTACGAGATCTTCTTGGCCAAGATTGCTATCAAATGTTATTGAATGTTAATTGGATATTATCCGCAACTTAAAGCCAAGGCTTTCTTTGTAAAATGTGGTGCGCTTTCGGACGTGTCAAACGGATTGTGATGGTAAAGATCATTGTTGGGTAAGGGCAAAACCCGTTATATAAATCATTGTTGGCGATGCATTTTTGCAGTGAGAGCGACAGTAATGACGTTCGTTCGACAAGCACATGCACATAGAATGACATCTGTACAGGTCTCCATTAACAGGTGGAATTGCTGCTCATTCTATAACCCCCGGTGCCTGATGACCATGTTGCAGTGGCGTAGCCACGGGGAGGGGGGTGGGGGAATTCCCCCATTCCTTGTGCCCCCCCCCCCCTGTGCCCCCACTGAAGCAAAGGATGAATGGATATTGAACACGGCTAACAAAAACGTGTCCCAAAACACCACACCACTGAAAGCTGGTGCCCCCATAAGATGCTGGTGCCTCCTTTGCACCCTCCACTAGTAAAATCCTAGCTTCGCCACTGCCATGTTGCACTGTTATGTAGAAAATGTCATTTTTTTGCAAATCGATCACCAGACAGTTTCGGCTGCAGATAATCATGATGTAGCCCCCCCCCACACACACCCACCGGATCAAATGTCATGTCCATTCTCATTTAAAACCGATCATTCTCAGCCCAACAGCCCTCGAGACAAGCCGTGTTAAAGAATGCATTTTGTGAAAAGTTTGCCACATTCATTTTCAGTATATATATTATTGTTTTGGATACATTCTGGTGTGAAGAAACTCACGCATGGACATTTCGTACATCAACTTTGGATTTACCCCGCATGGCATGGACGAAATCATTTGTTTTACATACATTAGGCCTAGAGGTACAAACGCGTGACGCAGCAAGGGTACGACATCTCCGATTCTCAGGTAAATTTTCGAAAAATCCTTACACGAACTGCATTGAATCAACACGCAAAACTGTAAAGCACCGAGCATGCAAATCTTAATTTTTTTGTTTTTTGTTTTTGTTTTGCTTATGATAGCTCTTTTAGATAATTTTCATTTCGCTTGTGTTCTAATCAGTGACCACTGATGCTGCTGACGTGTTTCATTTTTGTTGGTTTTTAAAGATACTTTCTCCGACAAGGGAGGGGGGAAGCATCGCCATCCGGACATTGATGGATGAACTCTTTCGCTACAACATGATTAATTAATTTTCTTATCTCAAATGTTTCAAGGGCGCGCCGCATTTAAATAAACGGTGCGCAACTGCAATCTATCAAACGCACGCATCCCTGCGGAGAGATTATAGCATCGTAATTTTTCTTTCGGGCTCAACGGCAACAAAAGCGCTGAAAATATTACGATGGAATACAATTACGGCCGACAAAGCATACGCCTGAATAATGTAGCATTTGGGGGCGCATGTTGTTTCCAGAAGCGCACGCGGAAACAGACGCGAGAAATTGGACAGTCGAAATGATGGGCTATAATGACGTGAGTGGGTTCGCAGTTTTACTCCCTCGGCAACCTATTTACACCATTACAAAGGATGTGCTCTCTTCAACGGGACCGATGTAAAAAGTGATCTGCACGCAGTTTCAATGTTAATTCTAGGAAAACTGGATCCACCAGATGAGGCGATTGGGCCAAGCAGGCATGTCCTCAAGTCACGCGTAACACCTTCGTCTCCAACTTCAATGCGGCTGGGAAACGGGGAGGGTGCAGTTTATTTCAATTCCAAAATGTGCAGATCGAGTTTCCACCCGAGTGACTTCTCTGCCAGATGCCTCTCAATCCAACCTTGGACCAACTGGCACGAAGGGGCAAAGCATTCAGCGAGTGTAGCTTTATACATGAATGCAATGAGCTTAGTATTATAACATTGGGGAAATGCTTAACCGTGGCGGTGACGTGTGGCGCAGATAAAAATCAAGGGGGGGTGAAAGTATTTGAAATGAAGGGGTAGCTTACAAAGGTCTGTGGCAAGTGACAGCAAAAACCTCACTTTGATACGGCCACTATTTAATGCAAAGCCAGCATGACCATATTTGTTTGGATATAGCTGAGGTTTTGTTCCTCTATCTTCTTACTTTTTAACAACCATTCTCTTTATTTCCGGCTCTTCTTCTACGTTTGTCAGTGCTCTACTTGTGGAAATCATTCTTCTTCGATAAGTAACTATTTGTTTGTTTTATTTTTCCTTCAAACCAAAATAGCACTGTTTATTATTATTGTTCTTTACTTCAGTAGTCCGGTTGGTTTGTCTGCTAATTTTTCCGTCGGTCTGTTTGTCTAGGACGTTGTGTCTCCCCTGCTAAATCCCGTCAACTCGCTGCATTTTCCACCGTGGATTCACTTTACTACTCTCGATTTTGTGCTCAGCCCGATACAAACTGGAATCAAATATTCATTCCGTGAGCCATCGGCCGGCCGTGAGATCGAAGACCCCTCCCCCCAAAAAGAAGACAAAAACGACGGCGTTGGCAGCCTCGATAATTAACCCCCAAAATTCCCAGCAAAGAAGCTGGCCAAAGAAAACAAGAATACAGGCCGTTGCGGGCGATTTTTTTTTTTTACCTATCTCTGCCGGAGTTCCATACACTTCCACATCAATCCCCGTACCCGGCCTCACACCGGCTGTACCGTACAGCTCGCTATGCCCGTATGTAGCCTAGGCTGGCCGGAGACGCAACCCTCGGGCCCAGCCCTTCTGCCGTGGTAGAGTAACGAGAATTGGCAGACATTTTGGGAAGAGATCGAGAGGAGCAGAGCGAAAGTTTGGGATTTTTTCCAACCACAGCACAGGTCAAACACAGATTGATTTGAAAAGTGACTCTATGTTTTACAATTACTGCAAATAGTCATGATTGTATTGAAAATGGAAGTTATATGGAAAAGAACTCAGAAGAAACCGTTGCCTAACGATTTCAAACCATGTAACCTCTGAGGACATGCAGTACAGAGGCCACTGTTTTTGAGAAAGTCACCATATTGAAGGGGTTGCCGTAGTAAACACGTGGTCTCTCTGTTTTCGATGCTCATTGGCCATTCAATTAGCCCGTTGGAATGCTAAAGTAAGGCGTAACCGTGAAACAAAAACTGGCAAATAGGTCTGCCATTACAGGACTAAATAAGGCATATTGTCGTCGAAGTTATTTTTCACGCATGCACACTGCACACTCTCGTGATACTAGTGCGGTTCTCCGCCGATGGACTCACTGCATGCTCGACATATTGGGCTACTGCAATCGAACGCCATGGTAATTGAGTACAACAGAGGGCGCTATCACGTAATGGTGAAGCATGAGCCACGCAGGCCAGTTTTGGCCAACATTGGAAGGGGAATTTTGGAATTAAAAAACATCCTTCCTTGCAACCCGACCCAAGCGCTGGTAGTCGGTTAAGTGAAACAGTGACAGTGAACATAGCAACGAGCACATACGATAACAGACCAAACTGTCATGGGGGGGGGTCGCGGGCGGCAGTGGAGGGCTGAAAGTTTATAGAGTGGGCATTATTACAGAGTGCTTGGCGGCAGTTTCTGTGACTCAGGAAAAAAAAATCTAAAAAAAACTGCATCGTGTGTTCTTTGTCTTTAAGGAATGACAACTGCGCACAGCGGCAACCTCATTAGGGGCGCTCACGAGCCCCAACCGTATCAAAACATCTCCGCTCGCACGCGTAAATTGCTTGTACACGGCGTGAAAACAGCCCAGGGTGGGAGAGTAAGCCGCTAACATTTTCACAACAGCGGGCCCTGGCCAGTCCGCCCTTCTTGTACAATAGCGGGGCCTGGAGTCCCGCGTGAAACCGCCTCTAATCCCCCCGCCTGCAATGTCCTCGTCTGCCGATGACCGATTCTCCGGGAGTCCCGGCCCGTGTTTATATATATATATATATATACACGGAGATGGCAGCAGCTTGTTTTGCCGGGGTGGGTTGTAGGCCTGGCACGGGCGGGGGATTACGTGGCAGCGAACGGTACAACCGAGATCAGAGGACGGTCGGTTGCCGGAAGCCCGCGGCCAGGCCCCCGTCCACCTCGAGCACAGTCACAACACAAGTACACGGATTCGTGTCGTGTTTATCCACTCTGCTATGATCTCATCACTGTCTCCCTAACCTCCTCTATAAATGCA